GTTGTCCCTAAGGGTAGAGATCTCACTTTACTAAAACTCACTAGATTTATTAGATCTTTACTAAACTGAAATCAGTAAGAGAAGAGCTTTGCCTGTAAGACAAAGGCCGGTATGGCCCTTGACGAACCATATGAAGTAGAATGACGCATGAGTGATTTATATTTGCTAAGGGAGCTATTTGGGATTTTTATCAAGTTGTATGATAAAAGGCTTTGCAATCTATTAGAGGGAGTATGTTTTGAACCAACAGGAAAAAAAGTAGTTTTGACAAGACTAAGAGCTAAGTTGCCTTAACCACATACTGTGCAGTATTAAGTGAACACAAAATTATATTTCTGTTGTTACCACAATATAAATGTAAGGGGAGTTCTTCTAAGTCATTAGAAGACAGTACTGTCAGTTTATTATGGGGCCACAGATCCTATGAATGAACAATTACGTTATATGGTTTGGAGATTTAAAAAAGGTGTTAAATAGTAGCTCTTAGGAGCTCTTCTCCACAGTGGAATCTTGAAGGTTGTTGCTCCTGTTGTTTCCATTACACTGGTGTTATGAATAGAGCTTGCTTATTAAAATTGACTTTGATTTTAGTGATAAAGGTGGAGAAGTATTTTTTTTTTTTTAAACTGTGCAAACACAAGTTTCTATAATAGCTTTGTGCATGGCTACAGGGGAGCACGGACCTAATATATTTAAACAAAACTGACTACAAATAGATTAGATATAGCTACAGAGAGCCTGAAGAAATCAACCCCCTAACCTTGCTGTCTAACTTTTAGCTGAAGTCAAGAACCGTCACCATCAATTGCTCCTTTCCATGGGAGACAGGCCCACCGGCAGCTCCACTTAAGTGCTTACCCTGTACACTTCCTCTGTGCTGCATACTAACTTTAAACAGTTTAAGGTTAAAAAACTCCAAATTCATGGTGCCTACCACCAGTCTCTGAGACTGGGACAAGTTTCTCACAGTTTAGCCTGGGTTTTGGCGCTCGGCTCTGCCATCCACCCGCCAAGCAAGCACGGACAGACAGGTCACCACAGCCCCTTACGACTCAGTCTTGCCCACGTTAGACGGGGAGGATGCTGACCTCAAAACTAACTACGGAAGGGACACAGATCACTGAATGCGAAGCTAATAATAAGACAGAAGCCTCAGTAGCAATAAAGGAATAATAGGCAATAGCTTTCCTATCAAAGGAAAGTAGTCAACTGTGACAATTCACCAGCTGTGAATATTCTTATCAAGGACCAAGAACACAGTGAAATATATGTAATATATATAGCTCCTATTTGCCACGGAAGGTGCATTCCTCTATTTTTCTATCAGCTTGAATTTATCAGACAGATGCCCTGAGCTCCGCAGTCTGATGTCAGTTGCACAAGAAACATTTTGGCAAAACTTTCCTGTTTTTAATCTTCTCACCTATCTCTCCTGGCCCTCTACTCAACACTTGTTATCTCCATATAAACTCCAGAACATTTCTCCCCACCTCAAATGTGAGCCAGCGCATCAGCTCACATGTACAAACACCACTGAGATGGTTAACCTAACTTAATCATGACTACTGATAAAAATGACACTGAGATCACTCTTGATCAGAGGTTGCTTTCCCTTGGCTCTTGCAATAGGCAGTGAGGAGAGACAGCAGGAGCTCCCAAGGCAGTCAGACTACCCAAGGTCTATCCAGAGGCTGGCTCTCACATAGACAGTTGGACTAGAAGACCTCCTAAGGTTTCTTCCAAACTATTCTACAATCATCTGGGGCAACTGTTCCTTCCCCACTGACCACAGAAGAAGTAGAGGGAAGTTAGCCAACTGCATCGGACACTTCAAATGAGACAGTATAAATGCTCCTACTTTCAATATAGTGGGCAAATGCAAAGCCCAAGCAGAGTAAGACGAAAAATCCCCCTAGGGGAGAAAAACCCGTGTATATATAGCTGTGATCAGCCTAAGAAATACCAGTCCTGGGTGATTCACAGTCACACGGGTACCAGCTGTTTGTCTGTCAGGAAGCTTCCTGGGAACTAAAAGCTGAAATATCCATATGCAAACTGCCCAAAGGCAGCAGATGCACAGTCCATCCATCAGGAGGTACAGGATTATAAGCACACCAGCTGAAAAACATACTTCCTTTCATACTACACATGACATACATCCAAATCCTACCCTGTAACATTTAGCTGTGTTTTGATGCCCTTTAAGACCTGATTTTCAAATGTTGGATTTTCAAATAAATAAATGAAGGGTTTTTTTTGGCTTGACCACACTGGCAATTCCAGAAATGTAAATGGACATTTGAGTTTTGCACAGTTTGGAAATAAGATGGTTTCTTACCTAAATACTCCTGTTTCTCCTTGGCCAGCTGCAGTCCTTGGGCTTCCAGGCTCTCGATCATTGCCTCTCCCAGCTGGGCGTTCTTCCAGGTCCTAGGGAGAGCAGACACAAAGCAGACAAAAGAGAGAGCTAAAACCCCTCAGAAAGGGAGGTGTGGGGACTCAGCCTAGAAATCTACCAAATAACTCAAACACAGACTCTCTATGGAGCCAGTGAGTCCCTAAATTCCCCCCTCCAAAACTTGTAGAAATTTGCCTGACTCAGGAAAGAGATTCCCCAGGAGTTGTACATTAACATACTACAGCCATTCAAATGTTTTTCCAGTGTTTTGGAGATTGATATACTGAGTCTTATAGTTCTGCAGGCCAACCCAGCACTTGTGCAGCCACCAGCAGCAACAGGATGTTCCTGGAATCCGTTAAATGGATCCTGACAGACTGTTAAGACCCAGATTTTAGTTTTTAACTTGGCTCCCTTGCCAGGATGCTTCACGGCTGCCAGCAGCATCATCTTCTCCAGCCTTTCCAGTATTTTACTCCATTAAAGTCACTGTTCTCCATTAAACTTTAACCCTTTGTTGACTTGTCTCAAGATCTTGTATCTTCAGTCTTCTGATATTCATTATCCATCTACCCAACCAGAAGCAACTAGGAATCACTTCCCGGCTCAACTAGAAAGGCACTACGTTTTGGTGTCTTGCCTTCACTGTGTGGCAAACACATCCCCTGCCTAAACAATGACAAAACATAGATAAAAGCCAAATGTGATGCTCGCAAGTAAGGAGAGTAAAGGGAAATGGTCATGTTAAAAGAGTATCTTGATGGTTGTAGCACCATCAGCCAGAAGGTCTCCAAGTCCCTTGCAGATATTATGAAACTAAGCTGCAGAAGAGTTCTTTGCTGCAGATGCCCATTACTGATCAAGTTGGTGGACAGGGCAAGCTTTAATATGAGATTAAATAACCAAGGACAAGGACATACAGATCAAAAACAGAACCATAAATGAAGTTTGCTGCTCACCTCAATTCTTGATCCATTAGAAAACAGTCTCTACACTCATAAAATGCATAAAGTGCATCCCAGTCTACTTATACAAACGAATGTACAGGAACAGCAATCGCTGCCCAGAATTTTGCCACCTTTTTTAAATGATACAGACCCTAAGGGAGCTTACAAATAGTAAATGCATGTAAACCTTCCTGTAACAGGAAGATACCTCTTTGTGAGCCTCCAAGATGTAGTTTTTCAGAAAGAATAGTTTAAACCATAAGCTGGCAGCCTCCTATAATTCAAGACAGTCTGCACTTTGTCTCTTAAAAATACAGCCAAATATATTAGCACAAATTACCCCAAGGACCAGACAGCTCCGAATTGCAGCAGACAAAGTGCTGCTTTGTGTTTTTTTGCAAGCAGATGGATTTCTTTTCAGCTCACGAGAGTCTAGGATGTTTCTAAAATGCAGAGGAAATTAGAAGTAATTTAAAAGGTGATGTTTTGCCTGCAGGTAGACATCGTCAACCTGAGTGAGAGCGCGTGGGTGTGAGTGTGTACTTTTCCTGTGAAGTGCTCTGACACAGGATGAATCTGAGAAGCCAACAGTAAACACCACAAGTGAGTGTTTTGAACATCAGCGCTGGAAATTCGGAGCAAGGTCAGTTAACCTAGGGCTTGGCTGGGCTGGTTCCCCATGCCCATGGTCCTGTTCTCAGGCTCCCATGCCAGCCCTTCATTTCTCCGTTGGCCAACCTTGCACCTAGCTGTGAGAAAAACTCGTTGCCAGCCACGGTTTATCCTCACACTCCTGCTGCAGCTGGTGCAGGCTGAGCTGACCACAGGCACAACATACCCAACCTGCCAGACAGAAAAACAGGGCTGGTGGGATCTTCTTCCCACTTGGCCAAGTTCAGGATGTGAGAGGCCAGGGAGGAAGGCAGAGAAGCCCCTGACATGGGGCTATGTGACAAAGGACCCACCATAGCACTGTATTCCCCATTAATTATAAATGAATATTTCCAGCTTCAGCTGGAGTGACAAAGGACCCACCATAGCACTGTATAGCATATTCCCCATTAATTATAAATGCATATTTCCAGCTTCAGCTGGAGTTAATTGAGATACCTCCTTTAGCACATATACATGTCTGCCCATGATGGTGATACAAGCTAAAATTGTGGGAAGGGGTAACTTGTCTTTTCCACAGTTACAAGAGACCACATACATTGCAATGCAGCTGGGAAGAACAGGCCCAATTGCTTATTGAGTCTTACAGCTCAAGCCCTAAGGGCTCCTGGAGTTTCTACCAAGCTTGGGAAAGTCAAATTCCCTTTCCTCCTCTTACCTCTGCCTGTATCTAGAGGCTTAGTAAAAGCAGCTCCAGCTTTGCAGCTCAGCTGCTATTTTCACTGCCAGGCTCTTGAGCACTGAGAGACTGCAGGGCTGGTGACCTATGAACCTCAAACCGCTCTGATATTCCCAGCAGACGGTAATATCCAATATCCACACACACATGCACCAAGCCAGCTCTTTCACCCCTCGTCAGAAGGCTGCAAATGCTGCGCTACCACCCCTTCCATGGAGACCCAGCCTACCTCCTCATTCCAGGATCAAAATATCTCGGGAGGCCAAATACTGCTGCTCACACATGGTCTGAAGGCCCCAGGACCTGCAGAGAAGCAGTCGCATCCCATGGGCACACAGCAACCCAGCATTTATGGACCACAGCCAGGAGTCATTAGCGGTGTGATGAAAAGTCACTCAGAGAGGACACTCTGCCAGATCTGTGATGTCCACGTTAAGTGGAAGGTCAGATCCAGGGACAGGGAAGGGTCTCGGGAAGCCTATCTGCTTCCCCACAAGTCATCTTGGCATCCTCTATCTAAACATCTATACATCTAAAGAAGATATCAAAGGGAATTAAAAAAAAAAAAAAAAAAAAAGGCGCTTACACTTTTCCTGACTCCTGTAGCATCTCCAGCCACTGAGCCTGCTCAAACTCCGATTCGGCTGCTAGAACGATGTTACCCTGGGAATGGGGAACAAAAAAACACAGGAGATGAGAGGCTGGTGCCTGTTGATGCCTCCGAGCACGCAGGATGCAAACTGGACACAGCTGCCAAGAGAAGGAGATTCACACAGAAGGGACCATGGCAGGTATTCCCTCCTTATTGTTTTATTAGTCCTGGCCTGCAGAGAGTAGAGAGGAGTTCCCAGACATCCCTCTGCCAGTCTGCAAATATCCTAAGTCCTGCTGTCAGAAAGAGCTACTTTCCTTGCCGGCGGTCAAAGCAGGATCCTTGAGGGCACCTGGGATACTAACTTACCCTTTCTCTGGGTGGTTTGCCCAGAAAAGCTTGGCACATATTGGTGCGGTGGGAAAGAACTGCCAATGCAGCCCTGCTCATCAGAGATCAATACCTGCCCTCCCCCCTCTTTGTTTATTTTATTTTGAGAAGAAGAGTCTACCCACATGGAAGTCTTCATGGGAGATCTTTATGGCATAAGGCATGCTGGGTTCCTCTTTGGGTTCCACGATGCAGCCTCCCAAAGGTATGACACCCTGGGGATGAAGCAGAGCACTTTGATCAGTCAGCAAAACTTTCCCAGTGTAACCAGCAATGCCTGGTGAGGTATTACTGAGCTGTCACCCTCAGATAGTTCTGGGCTCCTGCCCTGCCACGGATGTCCTGGGAAGGCTGGGAATCGTACACGGCTCCCGCAGAGCAGAGGGGCAGTGCCCGAAGGATGCTGCTCGGTGTGCGTGGGTAAGTAGGCAGTGGCCGCACTTGCTTCTGAACTTGAGTAAGGGGTAAGGACAACTAGCAATGGTCAAAGCCGCCAGCATTGCCACTGGCTTTGCCACCAGCTGCTCTTGTAGCCACAACATTGTCCAGTTAGGCAAGCCAGGGGATGAACTGACCATCAAGTAGAAAACATGCAATAGATCCATGTGCCTGATGGGGCAGAAAGGAGCCTGGAAGAGGTACTGGCCCGATCCCACCCTTTTGGTCCTGGACATGCAAGGAGTGAGACTTACCTTTTCTTCGCTTGATAGGCCTGTGGAAAAACAGCTAGAAACAGAATAGCCCTCCCCTGCTCACCTTGGGGTGGATATTGAAGTATTTATTGCTTTCAAAACTCTTTTTCTCACTCTCAGCATAGTAGAGCAGGAAGCTTTCCTTAATGATGAAAAACCTTTAAGGAGAAAAGTAAAATCCAGCTAGGACAGAGTTCTTGGTTCATCATGGCACAAGAAAATTTCCATCTAACTAGAAAATCTCCACCTAACAACAGCTGCTTTCTGAGCAGAAGGGTTTGTTATTCCCATTTGCACCTAAGGAAAGGTGCTTCACCTAGGTTCAAAGTGCCAAGTGCTCAGCACTGCTTACAAGTTCACACGCTTCAGGTTTCCAGTTTACCCCAGCACACACGCAGCAGTGTTGGAGATGAACCGTAGTACCATTTACTCACAGGGGAATTGCGCAATGATCTGTGCCCGGGACAGGATCACAGCCCGAGCGCTTGGGCATCTTGACCTGTGGGGTGCTCTGTCTGGGCTACGTGTTGAATTCAGCCTGTTGGAGGAGAGCTGCCCCCTTTCTGAAGGATCTTTTTCACACGGGCTAAAATGAGCTAAAAATATTTCTGCAATCCACTCTCTTTCCCCTCACTCCTTGCCAGCAAGCAGTCAGAATCCGAGTGTTCCCTCTGTACTGATTCATACACAAAGAGGGTCACGGGATAGCAACTCCAAGAGACTCTCGAGGCAAAAGATTTGGCATGATAGCACTCAGGAACAGAAATAAATTTCAGAGATATTTTTAAGCTGAGCTCCTGGCAAAGTTTCCTCTCATTGACCCCTGAAAATACAAAGGAAATTGAATTCTTTTTTTGATATGCATCACATTAACAATGTACCTTGTTCTGCTCAGTTAACCCTAGATATACTCTGATGTACACTGTGTAGCAGCCACTGAATATCATAACTGCTGTAAACCAAACCTCTAACTTGCTGGAGCATATCCTTAAAATTGTGAATAATGTAGTGCATTTGGGATGTTCAAAAACGCTTGGGAGAGTCCCTTTTCTCTCAGAAAATTAAGATTGTATGTTTGCCCTGCAGTGAGACAGGGGAGAGATCTGACAACTGAAATTAGGTCTAAATATCAGCAGCACTGAATATTCTAAAGAGTAGCTGCAAGATGAGGACTACTTTAGTAGGAAGGTTTTAAAAGAATGAATGACAGAAAATAGTTTTGCACATCTTCTCTGACATGATACATACGTGCATGTCCTGGGGACATGGGCCATGCCAGCATTGCAGGGGGACGGAAGGACACAGGACTGGGAGAGAGCTAAAGCTTCTCCAAGTGCATGTAGCAAGCTCGGGCTCTGGAGCAGCTGTGCATTCGCTGCAAAATTTTTAAGCCCTTGAACACCCGCATTTTCACACGAGGAAATACTTCAGAATGTAAAAAAAGCCAGAACTTTCACCATGTGAATTACTGCTTTCTTCTCTTGGCCCCATCACCTGTACCCATCCCTGCTGACTGCAGAGGTGGGGAGGAGAAGAGAGAAGAGGTGGGCAAGCTGGAACGAACTGGCCAGCTTCCTCCATGTCATCCATTTGGTCTAGAAATATCACCGAGACACAGCAATTTTTACATTCTTCCATTGACAGGATGCTCAATTAGGACTGAAGTTAAAAGTCTTCACTGTCTTTACCACATGAAGGCTGTGGTCTGCTGTAGCATCAGGTAGGTTGGTCCTCCGTGCCATAGCCATTCTGAAGAAACCACTAACACCACACTGGAGGTAAGTAGACTAAGGACGAACAACAACATTGACACAGACATCAAGGCAGGGATGGGATCTGCCAGGGTTATACACAGCAGCTCCATATCAGACAAGAGGAGATACCTGCTCTCTGGGGACAGAGATATCACAGATGGCTAATGAGATTAATTAGCTAATCTTTCTGAAACTTTCTGAAGCAACCATGGCCCAGGTTAAGTATTGACACTGTAAAACCGCAATATTCACCCTCGTCCTCCGATGTATCAGTGCTTTTCTGGGCACCAGTCCAGGAGCACACGCAGCAAACCTCGGTGGTTACATCAGCGCAGCTCCCTCGCCCTAGGAACAGCTCAGGGAAAAGGAGCTTCATCAGCAGGTCTGCCCAGCGACTGTAGCACCTGCCATTCGCTCTTCCTCTGATGCCAGCACCAGGCTTCCCTGCCCGCCTCCCATCCTGGGGCCTTGCAGCTGGAGATGCGCCCAGCAAGGCCAGGACGAGGAAGAGATGTCCCTGTGCTTTTTAGGGCAGAGAACAGCCCTAAATTATTATCCATCCTACCTGTCCTGTGATAGGTTGTGGGGCTGTTGTTGGCAGCCATTCCACTGCAAAGCGAGGTTACCTACGTACCTGTGTGTTTCATCCCTAGTTTCATCCCAGTCCAAGGCCATTGCTGTTGCAACATGTGCAGAAGAAAGAGGCTAAGCTGCTTGCTGTACTGGGAGGCAGAGTGGGATGTAGCTTTGGGGTGAGGACGATGACTGAGGACAGAGAATACAACTTCCCAAAGCTGCTTCCGCAGTAACCCAGGCTCAGCCTGCCCTCGTCAGATGCACCAGCAAGCCTGGAAGATGGTTGCTTCTCTCTTTAAAGGATATTACTTTACATGAAAAGGAAAATACATTAACCAAGGAAGAGAACTGCTCTTGGAGAGAGAGGGTGCTGCTAATGGCTTTTCAAAACAAGGCTCCAAGCATGTTCAGACATTAGCCCCGAGAAACACGGCCACCTCAGTCCAGTGCCAGAAGCATCCACTGTGCTCTAGGTCAGCATCTAGGGCAGCCCACAACAGCATGGGCGCAGGACAGATCATTTTATGGGCAAAGGGAAGGATGGAAAATGCTCTAAACACCACTGCTCGTGTCACGTTTTGTGGTCCTCACAGGTGCCATCACCCTGGCCTGATTAAACCAAGGCTCTTCCTTTAACAACCTGTTTTCCTCCCTGGGGTCTCCAGCCACACTGTGACCACAGCCGGTTAAACAGGACCAGGCCACTAAGCAGGATGTGTCTCTAACGGCCACAAAGACACGTCCACATGACCGGTGGCCTGGCATGACCAGTGCCCTGGTGGCTCCCGGAGCTCAGGCAGGCTTTCCTCAGGGCACGGGGTGCTTTTCTGTTTCTAAGTTCTTCCTCATTCAAGACGCCACTCCTAAACACTAAACATACAAAAAGTAGTCCAAGATTTCAGGACAAAATCATAGAATCATTATGGTTGGAAAAAACCTTCAAGATCGAGTCCAACTGTAAAATCAAGTCCAATCGTTGAGAGATCAGATCCTCACTTGTAACTCACAGTAGTCATTTTTTTCCCTTAATTTGTCTGAAGGAGGAAATATATTTAACTGCATTTTATTTTCATAAAACAATGCATTTAACCAGCTGTGTCATCCTGGGCATGGGAGTGGGGTTGCAGGCAAAGGATGGATTTCTCCTTGTCCTTCCCAGTAAAGCAGCACCCCGTGGTCTGCATGGATGCGCACACAGCCACAGACCAGCAAGTCCTAAAGGTCACCATGTCTACCAGCCCATTGGCTTCTAAGAGCCCAGAGAGCTCTTTCCTATTTCGAATTTTTTTTTTTTTTTCCTTTTTTTTCCCCCCCCATTTCTCCTCCTGGGCCCTCCTTTGCTTTGGTTGCAGCCCATGTTCAGCTCTACCCCATGGCTGCCTCCCCCATCCCTTTCCACCTGCATCACTAAAATATTTACAACTCGCTGAAGACAGGGGTGACTTCTAGGAAAAGAGCAGCACTAAATAAATAATGACATAGAGAGCACAGGGCTGGGCCATTTGTCTGCCAGAAATTTTGATTAGGAAGAAGAGAACCTTTTAAGAACGCAATCTGCCCTCTGCTATCTGTCCACTTCTCCTCAGTAACAGTCATACTGGTTTCCAGTTTCCTCCATACTTCATGTGCAGAGACTGAACTAACACCAGAAGCAACGAGATTCAGTGAACCTCATACAGAAATTACACTGACTTGGAGCCCTGAGGTAGCCCCTTACTCCAGTCTTACAGAGCGTACTTCTGCCCTTGATAACGTGGTAGCAAATGCTCTCCACCCCCAGGCTGCCTGACTGCCGTTACACAACACGTTGGCAGCCTGCAACCTCCTGGCACCATGTGGGAGCCAATTCAGAGCCACCTTTGGCTGTGCCTTTGCTGGTCACAGTCTGACCAGAGCTGTCACTGGTCTGCATGCTGCTGCGGCCCATATGTACACATACATACATATACATATATATACACACACACACACACTCCCCTGTGCACAGGGCCAGTGCAGCCTGACCATTTCACCACCAAAAACCTCAAAGTACTTTAGCAAGCGTTAATGGGCAAAGTCAAGCAGCTTGGGAGCAAAACACAGGAGCTGCTGCTCCTTGTTGCACGCAGCAGACGCAGGGTGATCATGGAGGGGAGGCAGCTCGTCATTGCCCAGGGCACAGTGCTGGCACTAGGTGGGCATGGAAGCAATGCCCTGGGCTGCAGCGTGCACAAGGCAGGTGGAGATGAGCAGGGAGGCTGTGGCCAGAGTTCCCCCCACGCCTCTGCCTGGCTGGCAGCACTGGGGGAGAGCCTGGCCGCTCAGCTCGCCCACCCCAGCACGGCTGGGCTCTGCGTTTCCCCCGGGCATCCCTCATCGACTGCGACTTACCTCCTGGACCACTTGGCCGACTGCCTCCCAAAGGGTCTCTTCCAGAGCACGCCGTACAGCTGCACTTTGGTGCTAATGTCCAGAGCATCCGAATCTGCCTGTTCCATGGACGGAGAAGGAGACACGGAGTTGGATTTTGAAGCGAACATTGCCGTTGGATTCGGTCCTAACTCTGCCCCTCTCCCTGGCGGCTCAGGGAATCCGATGAAATGCAGTGAACCAGAAGGATGCAAGCAGCCGCTCCGAGCGGCAGACAGGGAGACGGGGCTATGGTTTGAATCAATAACTTGACTGCTCAGCACTCGGTCAATAATTCTCTCCCCAATGCACAGACGAGAGTTTCCTCATTGCGTATTGCTTCCTGATGCTCTGAAGACAAGACACATCCCAGCCCAAGGAAAGAGGGCAGAGGAGAGCCAGAGATGAGGAATGCAGAAGGACAGAGGCAGCTCTCAGCAATACAGCAAGCCAAAGCACCTCCGCACCAGAGCCAGCTTGGAACGGTGCTTCACTCAACATTGCAGCATCCCAAAGAGAAGTAAGTGCAAGATGGGCTTTTTGTTGTCAAGCATTTCATACCACAGCACACCCCCTCGAAACCTTGTGCTTGGAGATGGGTTCTTCTCAGTGATCCCAAAGGGAGCAAAGCGTGTGGGAGCCAGTGAATCCCATCAGACTGCCTCTGCCGTGGGCAGGATTCTTCTATGCCAACCTGGCACTGCCCACCTCGGCTGGGGTTCACGTGGCTGCTGGGTTTGCGCTGGGCAGCGTCCACGCCACACGCCTTGCTCATCCTTAAAGGGCTACTGCTGATCACAGAGCTAGATGACGATAATCCTGCCTGCCTGCGTGCATTTCTGCAGCCCCGCGCTGCCTCTGAGGTGCCAGCGGCTTCCTGGCCACAAAAGATGGACATAGGAACGCAACGTGGCTCAGGTGAGCCTCCATCCAGCTCTGCTCCATCCATCTCAAGCAATGAGCTTTCTGCTCCAGTTTCCTAAGTCTCCGTCCCTCTCCTGAAACCCTCCCTCCCTTCAGACATAAGCTCCTCCAAAACACCTCCTGTCTTTTGTAACATCCACAGGAAAGTGTATTACCATCGCATCATGCTTCCTGCCTTCCCTGTAGCTGCCTCCAACACTATAATTTGTGGAAGAACTGCCTGGTTTGTACCAGGCATAGCACCAGGGGCTTTGGGGCATCTTATATAAACGCAGGGACATACATGCTGTGAGCATCTGCTCCCATTCGGGCCCGGGCCATCCTATTTATAGTCACATAGATGCTGTAATTGCCACATATGTCGGCTTTTCCCATGGAAATCATTCAGGAGAGACACACTTCAGATGAGCAGCCATGTATCATTCCCAAGGTTAAAGCCTGAGATGTGCCAGAGGATATTGCATATTCTTATCTGAAGATTCTGAAGATGACTAAAGGAAAAAGATCTCAGGCTTAGAGCACTGGAAAGCCAGGTACGGTCTTTTTTGGGGACCAGGACAAGGAGGGGAAAGGGAGACACAGTAAGTTGGTTGTTTTTTTTTTTTTTTTTTTTGCTTAAAGATAAGCATACTAGATAATTAAAACCAATGAAGATGTCTGCATTTTTTTACAAGTGAGAAATTTCTCTTTTATATTCTAACCTCTTAACAGTGCATTGCACTGACAAAAAACTTATTTTGCACTGACAAAAAACCTTATCCTTGGGCTTGAACGAGGAAATTGAGATTTGGATCAGAGCTGTTGCAATGTTGGGAAGGATTTGGGTCTGGTCTGTCAATATGGATTTCCTTTCCTCTTACAGCTTCCAGCAGGTTCCATTGATGTTTTCATCCAGAGAACCGTTAGCAATTATGGGATGTATCAGCAGGTCCTTGGAACAACCTGAGTAGTAGTGAAAAACAGCCTAGCTCAATTTCATTTATAATATATAATTCCTGCAAAGATAAAGTGTCACATCTATCAAAACGATGCTTCAGCTTTCTAGATATAGTTGAGTGCAGAGGCTATTCTGAACAGAGCAAAAGCAGCCACCATTTAACCACGTCTTTAATATGATGCATTGATTTTGTTTCTTCTGCAGGATTAAATTTTATGTCTGAGGGGAAGGGAAGAATCTCAGAGCTGTCCTGCAGAGCCCAAAGAAATAAGTTATTCAGTAAACGGCCATTAAAATAAAGAGACTTCTGTAGATTTATAATGCCCTTTGGCACCATCCTTTGGCCAGCATCACATGCTCTCAGCAGCACAGTCCACACAAAGCCCTCCACAAATCCCTCCCATCCAAACCGATGCAGATCCATCCTCGCCAGCCCACTAGGCAAGTTAATTCAGCTGTTAGGTACTTCTGTGCTACAGGTAGAGCTCCATTTCAGGAGACTTGCAAGAAGTCAGGCAGATGTCGGTTAACTGTTTGCTCAAGTAGAGGGATTTGACAGAAAGCAGCCAGAGAAGACTGCACAGAGAGGACGTCCAGCTCGGCCTTCGGAGGTGGCTTCCTCAGGGTCAGTGATCATTTCTCTCAGCCTCTTAGAGGTTACTCTTTTTTGGATCCTAGTAAAAGACTTTTTCTGGAGATGACTCTGGGAAATACTAGGGAGGAAAAGAAAAAAAAAAACACACAAAATGACAACAAAAAAGTATTTCACACTGCACTTATTTTTTAAGGGACTTGGTAACACAAACTATATGTGAAACAGTTGTCTCCATAAGATACCCCACGGCACTCCTGCAGTACCCCAGATTTTTCCCATTGAGCCTAAACACCACGAATTTATCATATGGTCTTTATGAACAGAGAAGACTTGGCACTAGAGGAGCCCGTGCACGGTGGTTCCATGCAGCACCTTGCTCAGCAGCAATACACAAACACAGCTTGTTCTTCGTCTTTCGTGGCACCCTTGCTCGCACGCAGTCCCTGTCCCTCCTGCGCGGCCAGGACGGCGCCACACGATGCAGGAGGTGGCCTCTACACAACTGCGCATTTCTAAGGCTGGGCGAGCGCCGCGCAACCTGCGCGCTCCTCCCCGCGGCCGACGGGCGAACCACAACGCACAGAAACAGGAACCAGCGACCCTTCCTCATCGCGTCCTTTAAACTGTGCTCGAGGCAGGCAGATGTTGAGTCACTACACATCACCACACAGAGGCAACTGGAGCACCATCCATACTACCAAGCGCTGACAAAACGGCCCGGGAAGCCGTTGGACACATTAAATGAGATTCTGAGCTGACCCCCGCTCCGCACAAGTGTCCTCAGCCTTTCAACACGATCCCACAGATCAGAGCCCTCCCTCCAAGTTTCTAAAGCAGGTCTGGCTGCAGGGCTCCTTCACACAAGGCATTTCTCCACTGGAAAATTTGAGACATTGACTGCAAGCCACTAGTTTTCACACATGAGGTACCCTCTAGTCTCGCTTCGCACAAAGGGAAAGAAGTGATAGGCTTAATTTTTATACATAATAAATAAAAGTCTAGAAAACTAGATTGACTAAAGTATGTTTTTATTTAAATACCACAGAAATGGCCAACACAACATCGCTGAAAAACCCACAATTGCTCTTACACATGCATTCACCATTCACTTACCTGCACCATTGTTACAGCCACTGAAGCCAAGGCCTTAAAAAGCCAGGGATGCCACAAATTAGGACTTCATCCAGAGAGGGAAACGTCGGGGATCAACACACGTATGTCCTTCCTACCCTCCATTAACACATTCTGTTGTACCCTCAGGCCTAACATGCAGCAGCCTCTGCTGTTTTGCTCATCTGCAACGCGCTCTCCCTCCCGGCGTTCTCCGCAGCTGCTCCCCGCTACGCGCCGTGCACGCACGGAGCACAACAAAGGTCACACTTCCTGCCATCCCACCTGTCTACTTTCTCCAGGAGGACTATCAGTAGGAGATGTGACAAGTCCATCACAAACCAAGTCTAAAATACCAAGTCTTAAAGTCTAAAATACTTGGCAATGAGGGACACCGAAAACACTCCCCTCCACAACATGCCAGAGGGCTCAGTTTTTCTCAACATCAGCTGTTCCTCAGTTTTTCTGTCGAAAAGCAAGGACAGAACGTGGGAAACCTGCTTTAGCCCTGCACTGGGGCTCTATTTATAGCCCAAGCTCACCTAAGAGGTGCTGCAGCAAAGGTCACTCGCACTAGCCCAAGAGCTTGTTGTGGTTGCAGGGCTTTCGGCAGCTCCTCAGTGCGGCCACGGAGCCAGCACCCCCCGTGACAGGGAGCTTCTCCCTCAAGACAGCAGAGACACGAACTGCCACAGACTCCAACACGAGCTACCCTCACATACTATGGTCACGCTTTGAGGCGCCAAACGGGCATACAGAGACAGCAAGTACAGAATGAGCATTTTCTCCCTTTTAGTAGTTTCTGCTTTTAAATTTCCCAAATGCTGCGTGGGTTTGCGGTCAGTAATCATAATACAGATTAAATAGCTCTCCATATTTTCTGAGGCGTTTTTCTTACCCATCCAATGGCAATGGATAGCCAACCTCCAGACATGTTAGAAAACAGAGGGGAAAACACTATGGTAAAAAAGGGCAGAATGTTCTGCAGTTCTGCCTGGGAGGATCCAGCGATAAGCCAGGAGACAGATCTGTAAAAGAACAGTCTAATTTGTGAACAGGAGCAGTAGGTAACAGCTCCTCTTATTCTTGCTGCTGTCCTCATCCCTAATGATAAAGATGCCCTTTTTCCCCTCTTTTCCTCTTTCCTTTCCTTACTGAACGCAGGCACGCTGCCCACCTGTCCGCTCAGGACACTTGCAACCTCACACTTGCTTAACATTTAAGCTGTCAAGGACAACTCCTGTAAAAAGCCACCCGAGTCCTTCCTCCCTCCTCACATCTCTGCAAACACTTACACCAGACTGCAGTGGTTTTCTCCAATTACTCAGACAACTATTTTATTAAAACACACCAAGAGTGTATTAGAACTGTGTAACACTTCACCACAAATCTTTAAAAGTAGAACTTTAATTGCCAAAAAAAAAAAAAAAAACAAAAAACAAAAAACCAAAAAACAGGAGCTTATCTGGCAAAGGACTAGCTTCTCATTTCTATTGCTTTATATTTGTTTTCCACTAGTTACAATAGCAACATTTTGCCATGTGTTTTGATTCTACCACAGACTT